CAGAGACTGCTGGATTTGGAATAATGGCCTGACTATTAAAAAAAACCACAACAAACAGTTTTGAATTGAACCGATTTATATTGCAGGAGATTGTACCATAAATTGTTTGTAATTGTTCTGACAACTCTGTCAGAAATATTACAAAACTTACTCGATGTCAAGTCTAAATTTGCAGAAATTGAAAACCACTGTCTCTTGCCCTGCTAAGTGCCTGTAAACGCAGGCACATGACTGTTTGTCCATTGCTACCCATCTCTTTTTGCCTAGCTTGGAACACCAAGCAGGTATGGTTATCTACTTTTTTGCTTTACTACCATAAAACTGTATTTGGCTTTGAAATTGAAGAGCTCTCTAGTACCACTTTCCCCCTGCCGTGTTGATACTTGATGGCTGTAATAAACTCACTATTTCACCTTCTTTTTCATAAACTAAACAAATCTGTCTCTTTCAAATTTTCACTGAGGCATTTTTTTCCAAATCTTTAATAGTTCTTACGTCTTTTTTTCTTGCTCATCTTTAAGGCCATCTGTATTAAAGTGAGAACACTTGCACTTGATACACCATGCCGTCTGCTGCCTTGGTGCAAATCAGGGGCAGAAGATTCATAAACGAATCACAGTTTATAAATGAATACTTTTCTGTGCAGCATTGTTCAGGTGAACCTGACGTTCACCTACATCTTCAAGCTTTCATAGCAATCGAAGACTATGCCCTTAATGAATACATGCATGAATGTCAGTGTGTGTGGATTTCTCATCGTGAATGACCCAACATCAGCTAAAGAGATTAGATTGTTCTGAATGACTGAGTAGAAGTACTGAGATAAGACTGATGTCATTTTGTGTGAATCTAAAAAGATACTGATGACACTGAGAACTACATTCATCCTGGATTTAAGATGGGGGAGAGTTTTCCTCTATGTTTTAAGGTCCTGGCTGAAGTATCTTGGTTAGGAGTGAAAATTGCCCCATGCTGGCTCTCTGCTCCATAGGGACAGGCACCTCCAGCAGGCTGTTCAGATCTCTTGATAGGATCATATACTTTCACTCACCTTCTGTTATTTTTTTATATAGTAAGTATCCTAAAGGATCTGCATTACAGATCATGCTTGCACTGCCAGTTCTTCATCTTGCTATTGTTATTAGAGAACAATAGGAGACAGCAACTAATTTGTAGAAAGGCAGGTCCTTGTGATTTATATGGAGGAGTGCATTAGTATTCAGCCTTTCCTACACTACAAACTTTCACTTACCAAGATTGTAAGGAAAAGTAGCTATTAACCTTCATCATCATGAATAATTAACCACAACAGCAGCCGAACTGAAGATTCATCTCTCAGTTAATGCTTGGTCCAGACAGATGATACCAAACACAAACCCCACACCACACCCAGGCTGTCTGTCAGGATCTGCTCCAACCTGCAACCGCATGAAGCAGAGTTGACTCTTTAAAGAAATCACATTTTAAAGTTCTTTTGAGCGTGTGAGCTAATGAAGATCAGGCTGTTCTTAGAAGGCTGTTTATTATTCAAAGTGTACATTCTCTGCGAATGCTGCAATTCTGGGACAGATCGTATGTACAACTCAAAATTGGAACAGAAATTACAAGAGAAGGAAGTTGGGAGAATAATCCAGAAAAGCAATCTTATGTGAATATGGCTAAAAATCTGGCTAAAATGCAGCACTTCTGTGATATGCTCTCTTAATAGAAGTGCAGCAGAGATCAGAGAGGACAGGAGCTGTGGGAAACAAAAGGGAAGATCACAAGGCTTCCTAAGAATAAATGAACAGTTAAGTTCAGTTTTGACCTTGACATTTTTTAATACCTACATACAGATCCTCCAAAAGCACTTCAAAATATAGGGGAAGAAACATTCTTTAAGCTATCCATCCATAGCGTCAAAGTCTTATTTCAATGTAGCTCTTTATTTGTTTTTAATCTTATGCTATAACTTTTGCTTGGGTTGTTAGTACTGAAGGGATGTTCGGAAGTCTCCTTCGAGGTCAGATTTGATGATTCTCCATCCCAGCACTTCACTTGCGCTAATTGCAGACTGACACAGGGAATAACATTTACACACCTGCATATGTACTCATCACTAGTGCCTCAGAGTGATGCGCTTTAGTCTGAGTAAGGGGAAAAAAATACAGGGCAGTGTGCACAAGATTTTTTCTGTAGTTCTCCTGAACCAAACTTTGGAAATATAGGGAAGAAATAAAGGTGAGAAAATGAGGAAAGACAGTGAGAGAAATAATAATAGTCCAGAGGAGGGCCACGAGGATGATCAGGGGACTGGAGCACCTCCCATATGAAGACAGGCTGAGAAAGCTGGGGCTGTTCAGCCTGGAGAAGAGAAGGCTGCGTGGAGACCTCAGAGCAGCCTTCCAGTATCTGAAGGGGGCTATAGGGATGCTGAGGAGGGACTCTTCATTAGGAACTGTAGTGACAGGACAAGGGGTAACGGGTTCAAACTTGAACAGGGGAAGTTTAGATTGGATATAAGAAGGAAATTCTTTCCTGTTAGGGTGGCGAGGCACTGGAATGGGTTGCCCAGGGAGGCTGTGAATGCTCCATCCCTGGCAATGTTCAAGGCCAGGTTGGACAGAGCCTTGGGTGAGATGGTTTAGTGTGAGGTGTCCCTGCCCATGGCAGGGGGTTGGAACTTGATGATCTTAAGATCCTTTCCAACCCTAACTATTCTATGATTCTATGATAATACCAGAAGGAAATGGGGCTGGGGGATGGGGAAGGGAAAAAGAAAAATCAAACCAAAACAAAGCAAAACTGACTGAGAAAAGAAGATCAGAGAAGACAGGAGGAGCCTGACTTGAAAAAGCAGACGGCCAGACACTAGTAAACTTTGCCTTCATTTCAGTTATTGTGCTACCACTGGAAAGTTTCATATTCAGTGGCCTGTTTTTTTCAGGCTAGTTTTCCCTTTGCATTGGTGAGCAGATTGTTCACCACACTCATTTAACAGGCTCTAGAGCTGCAATGTGGAAAGCAGTTCCTGCCTCTCAGAATGACTGTTTAAGCTAGCAGCATTCTGGTGAAGATATCCCTACATCCATTTTGACTGTGTCACTTGTAGAAAGTTTTCTTTGCCGTCACAAAATGTAGACCTGAAGCTGTTCTTGTATCCATGGCTAGCTCCTGAAGCACAAGATGACTGTCATGAGAGAAAACAGCCAGCTCACCAAGCTGCATCAAGTAGGCCAAATGTGACCTATAGATCAAACAAATGCAAGGACTGAATAACAAAGAAACGAACTACAAGAGTTACAAATAACACTTTAACAGAAAATTCATTGCTGAAAAATTATAGCAAAATAGGTTTTTAATAAGAGTGTGCTCAGCTGTGATTGATAGAGGGACAATGCTCTCTGCATGCTTCTGCTTTGATATTCAGCAAATACCTTGGAGCTTTGGTTTTAGCTTTTCATACTCCCCAGAGCAGGATATTCCAGGGCTGCTCAACAAATAACTGCTCAAATGATATTGCTTAGGCTGCTTGTATCTGCCAGAGTAGCCCTGCCCAACTGCGCATATCCTTTTCAGAAAGCTAAAGAGAGAGAAGAAACCCTTAAGGATAACCAAATAAGAAGTGCCTGTGCCTGAAAAGGGAATACAAGAACAAAAAGGATGAAGAGGGAAATGAGCAAAGAAAAGGAAAAGAAAAGGTAGGAATGGACATCACCAGCTATTTCCAGATCTGTACACAAAGAACAGAGACCCAAGAAAGTAGAACATTTCAAAATGAGTTTGGAGGTGGTCCTGGAAAATATACATGCAGAGCAATTCTGCAATGGCAGCAGGGGGGATGGACTGGATGTGAACTTAGTGGTCTTTTCCATCTCCAGTTTCTATGAAAACAGTCACCATTCTTTAGCAATATGATAAATATTTTAAAAATCATAGATACAAACTACATAAAACATATTAAATAACAAGTTCAGCCAATTTAATCATGACTTTTCAACTTTTCAAACCAAGACAGCGGGGAGGAAGAAGGAACAGGCTTGAGATTTTTAGTCCTCTTTGTTTAAGACTAATTCACATAGGACACACCTTCATGAGACTTGTTCAATAACATTTGTGGAGCTGGGCTGGAATTGTTGTTGGATTGCCCTCAGTCCACAGGGCTGCTGGTTTTATCCAATGCACACTGGGTGCTGTCTCTCTCTAGCAGCTTTTAATTCAGATTTTACCTTGTTTATGTTTCACTCCTAGCTGGACCAGTAGATTTCATTTTGGGTAGTGTAATAGCAGTCTAGTCCTTTCAGCATTTAAATACTAAAAACTGATTCCTTTCTTCATTCCTGCAATGACCAAAACAACATCAGCTGCCCTGCAAGAGAAAACCTGCTCCTCTGCAAGTGATCCATGTGTTGCAGATACACAGACTTCGTGGTCCTCAGCAGGGGAAGAAGAATTTTTGGCTTGAAAAACATAGAACTCATTATCTGAGCACGTGGTGTATCCATAAAGTCTAGCTGCAGTGAGGGGACTTGTGTTCCGTGGGGCAGCCACTAGACAGTGATATAGCCACATCTACACAACCAAAGCATGTCAGCTTCACACCCTTGTAATAGCCCCAGCCTTTCTCTAGCATTTCCTTCACAGCCTAGCAGCTCAAATTTTCTCTGAATCCCAGCTGAAACTCAGCTTGCATACATCCCTTTTGAGCAATCATCATTCATTCTCAGCAGAGAGGAAGGCTTGAATAAAATCTTTTCTCTTATACAAGCCAAAGATAAGGAACCTTCTGGGGTAAAGGGAGCCAGGGATATGCCCTGCCTGTGATTCTCAGCTTGTCTAATGGAAAGAAAACCTCGCCTTCTGGGCTACCAATCTTCAAACCACCAGTCTCGCAATAAAAGTAGTTGAGGCAAATATAGCCATTCTCCCTCTCACATACTTCCCTAAACTTCTGTAATAGAACAAAACAATAAAGCCTGCTTTAGGCTTTATCAGTATAATTCTATTCAGCACATTCAGCCATCAGTAACCTAGCTCAAATTTGGGCTTCAGCTTCCCAGGCAACTGGTTCAAGCCACTTCCATGCACACCCGTTGCATTAAGCATACCTCTGGCAAGCACCAGCTCCATCCTCTGAAAGCTTTGTCAGAACAAACATCAGACTTTCCAGTTATCCCATCTGACTTTGCACCTTGTCATCCACCCTTTACACCTTCTTCCTCACCCTTTCTTCTTCTCCTGCCGCATGCACACCCTGGATGAAAGACTCAGATAAGATGGAAGAGGCCAACTTACGGGAGCAGCAAGTCTGTCCTAGCACCAATCCACCCTCCTACTCAGGGCCAGGTGAATCATGTGGCTGTCCAAGACCTTTTAGAGAGCTGCCTGACTGCTGCACTTGAGAGCTACGCGAGTTCTGTTTGGGACGTCACTTACATCTTTGCCCAGATTGTGGACAGAGTTGTCCCTCTGCAGAGTTACTGCAGGAAAATGCTTTTGTGAAGAACACCCAGAGGAGACCAGCTTGTATGCAAAGAGCAACCTTCAATACTCTGCCTTAGAAGCTGACACCTGCCCTGTTCACACCAACGCATTACCTCGCCACTCCCCATGCCTTTGTGAGACTCCATGGCATCTGCACATTCCCTACTCTGGCTGCTCAATAGGAAAGCAACTTGGTGCAGAGAAAGTCATCCTCATAGACAGTGTAAGATGGGTGTGCAATGCCATCCGACAGAGCAGTTATTCCTGACCAAGGATCATCAGAGGCATCATCAAAAGTATCAGCAGCCTAATGTAACTTGTCCAACTGTACCCTATAGGACAGTCCATGATATCCTATTTGCCTTAATTCTGCACAGTAAGATGTGTTATATACATAAAATCTCAGCAGGTCCAAGTGACTACAGATGCCACTCCAATCCATGGTCTCCTCCAGGACTCCTTCCAAGGACCTGCCCACCTCTCTTCCAGCCTGCTTTTGCCTCCGAGTTGCTAATATGCTGGGCATCTGACAACATACAGTAGAAACCATACCAGCCCTGCAATCAAACAAAACCCTTGCAAGAGGAAAGTAGCTGGTTTTGAGGGTCCTTCTGAATTCTCTCCTTATTCTGTGAGGCACCCCTTGCTCCTCCCTGAAGAATCTCCCTGCTGATACCAAAGGTGTCTTTCCATCACAGGGCACCTGCTGCAGCTTGACAGACTGGCTTGACAATACAGCCTTTGATCCCCTGCAATCAGCCCCTGAAGGAGAGACACAGTGTAGTAGAGGTGACCACACTATGCTGGAAACCAGAGAAGTCTCTTGTCACCTCAGCTTCTCTCTCCTTTACCCTTAGGTCTGGTGTTCCAGCTTAGCACTTCCTGGCTTTTCTTTCTTTAACTGCTTGTGGTGTTTCCAGGAAATAGTCAAAGGTGGTTTTGATTTGTCATTTAAAGGTAACAAACAGCTGCATGTTCTCAGTAGTTCTGTGTATTCCTTTTCTCACGTAGTAGTGATCCTCAGTATTTGTTGGTTTCATTCTTTCACAGGCAGTGTACCATTGAGCTACTAATGCTGTTTAGTATTACAATAAATAGGGAACGAAATAATAAAAATAATATATTTGGCTTTTACTTGTTATTTTTAATGCTGTACTTTAAGCATATGTTGCACATGGCAAAGGCAGAAAGAAGCTGGGACATAAGGATGAGCTCCCAAATCAAGCTGCTACTGAAGCTGGCTTGGATCCAGTCTCTACTAAAAATGGCCCTTAATCTGCAACGAGAGTGATAAAGTCAAAGCTGCAATCAACTGTCATTAGCAGAGGATTCAAAATATTAGCATTTCCCCAGTGCAAGGAATTTAGTCTTTCTTTTCCCTCCCACCTATTTCAAAATAAAATGAGGCCATGTGCAACAAAAGGAAGGATAGCATAGGTTTAAAGTAATTCTTCCTCTGGGATGCTCTGTGGCCAACTGTTTACTCTGTTTCCATGCCAAGTGAGAGATGTGGGTTCAAATCTGCTTAGATACAGGAAGAGATGAACTTTCTACATCCTGGCTGAGCTCTCCAAACATCTGCATTTGAGGTTGCCCTGGCAAAGTGCATTCTGGCATGGTCTGCTTGAACGCCATAGGTGAGACAGAGGAAGAATGCCTATTGTGTTGCCCAGGCTTAGATGCAGGGATGTAACTTTACTACCTCGACTTGTCTAGCTGCAGGGAGCAATGAGTTGTCCAGCACGAGTACAGAAGGTCCACATGGGCTTGATAATCCTGCCTCTCCACTGTCCCATTTTTTATCAGTGGAAACAGTTTTTGCTCTGTTGCTACTTACCATGGTGAAAGAAGCAATCACAAAGCGACAACAATGAAGCTGTCACAATGAAGCTACAATTAATATCAAGAGAAATAAAAAATTAAAACCTTCTATTACATTGTTTCCTGTTTGATACAGCCACCGAGCCACACAAAACCTATGGTATAAATTGCATGGTTGGCTAAGTAGGGGTAGCACAGCAATAGCTGATTTACAGACTTTGTGGAAGAAGTTTGGGAAGGTACCACAATCTGACGTCCGACCTGGATCATTTCCCATTTTAAAGGTTTTGTTTTCTTCCATCATTTCTGGCTCTGCCCGAAAACTATAGCTAGATGTTAAAATAGCCACTTTTCCCTTCTCTTCCAGTTTCTGCACAACCAGAGAGCAACCTTGAAAAAGTTTATTTTTGCTGTCATGCCACGTTGTTGTCCTAAAAACCCTGGCTCCATATATTTGGTGTACCAAGAAATATCTACTCTTTCTCCAAACAAGAGTTTATTTTGACTTCGGATTCGAAACATTAACACTTCTGACAGCTGCAGGAAAGTGTTTGGTTTGCTTGGGTCCCTAAATGAACGTTTAGTTTAACCTTAATAGGGAATTCTCTGAATTTGTAGACCTTTTATCTGGAACCATCTCCAATTAAGCACGATGAAGAATTAACAAAGCTATTCACTCACCTCTGGAATCAGTAATTCCTTTCTTTTTTTAATCTGAAAAGTGTTTGCAGTCATTTCATTATGGTTGTGCAATTGTACTGAAAAACTATCGTAAGGATGATATTTTATTTCTTAAACGTTTAATGTACTGCAGTAGAAGCAGGGAAAAAAAAAATACAGTAGTTTACCAAAGTTAACTGCATTTTAATACAGGAAATGCTACTTGAGGACCTAAGTGGGCAGAAGTCCCTTGGTAGTTCTGCAATAATAGATGGACTAGGCATTTACTCAAGTTAGTTCTGATGGATCTCCTTCAGAAATAAAGGTGTCTGACACTTCTTCAAGGTAAAAAGTACAATACACTTTTAATACATTCTAAGTGTCACTCTCACCAGTACATTGCAACTCTAACAAGATTTTTGTTGTGATTATTCAGGAAAATGAAAAGTGGACTCTCAGGACAGACCCAGACTTTTTGGGCTAGGATGTAGAATGGCATCAGAATCCAAATGTGGGATTATGTGCTACTTTTCCTTAAAAAAAAAAAAAAAAAAGCAATAAAACACCCCAAAACCCAAAAGTATTTTATGTGGTTAAGAGATTTCAGATATAAACTGTGTAGTGATCCCAAAAGACAGCGTTGCTCTCAACCAAAGCTGGCAGATCTTTGGACATGAAAAGCAGCGTAGCAATACAAGTGCTGGCGAATAATGATGAAAACATTTCGTTCTCTGCATTTCAATTCTTAAGATGGAAATAAACCATCTGATGAGTATAGCAAACCTGGAGCGTGCATGGCCGCGCAACCACACAATGCTTTAACTGTACAGAGTGAGCTGCTGCTTCTGCTTGAAGAGATACAGGTCTTGGTATCTGTACTGCATGAGGTTCAGGTACCAGAGAAGCGGGCAGCCGGACTTTTTCCGTGTGAACTGGAAAAAGCCCCCAGTCATGAAAACAAAACTGAGCGAGCAATGGGGTGCTTTTGTGTCCCCACAGTGGTGTTCTGCTGCAGGGTAAGGACTCGGGTGCCAACCTGCCGAGTGCCCTGCATGGGGAAGCGCTGGCCCTGCGGCCGTACCCCAGTGCCGTGCAGCGGCCCTCGCACGTCCATCAGCGCAGCAGCGGAGCAGCTCGTCGAGAGGTGTCCGACCTCGCTGCCCGCTCGGGCCGCTGCGCGCTATGCCCCGGCCGGGGACGCCGTGCCCGGGAGCAGCGCGGAGCTACCTGCGGGCGCAGAGCGGGGCGGCGCGGAGCGGGACGCCCCGGGCGGGTCCCCACGGTCGCCGCCGCCGCCGCCCGCCCCGCCTTGCGTGGCCCGTGGGAGCGGGTCCGGGTGCCGGAGGCGGCGGGGAGGGCTGGGACGGGGCCCTGGCCAGGGGTTTCTCTCTCCCCCACCCCCTCCTCCCCTCGCCGCCGGTTCCCGTGAGGCTGCAAGTGCCGCCGCGGCAGCTGGGGGGGCCGGCGGGGGATGCTGCCGCCGCCCTGCCCAGCGCCGGAGTGAGGGCAGGAGCTGGTGGCGGCAGGAGCAGCCCCGGCGGCGGGACGAGGTGAGCGGGGCAGGTGGGTGCGGGAGCGGGGCCTGGGCCGGGGCGGGCAGTGCTGCTCCCGCTGGGGACAGCCCCACCGCGCTGGGGGCGCCCGGGAAAGGGACGGGGCGCAGCCTGCGGGGTTTGCACGGGCGACGGGGCGGGGTGGGGGGAGAGAGCCCGCAGTTGCAGCGCCGGGGTCTGGCTTTCGGGGTGCAGACAGCCGGAGGAGCAGAGCCCCCGGAGAGGCGGGCTGGGGAGCGAGGCGAGGGCGGGAGGGGAGCCAGGGGCATTTCAGGCTGAGCCCGGCCGGTCATGCCAGATGCAGACGTAATTCCACGGAGGGACCCCTCCGCCTCCCCTCCCCAAATCCTGGGCAGGGTGGCTTCTGAAACATGTAGGATCAGGCAAAAGTCGAAGTTTCCGTAGAGCTCTGACTTGTTTTCTCTGGCTGAAGTTATCTAGAAATAATATTGAGGGGAAGAACAGTCATTCATAACAAAACTTTGAAGAGCATCAGGTTGTTTTACTGAAATCACACGCGCTGGGAAAAAAAATCACCTCAGGTGGTGCTGATAGAAAACGGCTAATAGCAGTATCGTGCATACCTATTTGTAACATATAGGAGATTTGGAGGCTCTTAGCACTACTCAAAACGAATTTCACCATATTTCTGGAGAATCATGCTTTCATACGTTTGCTTGAAATGTTTGCCTTTTTACTGATGATTTGCCTACTCGAAACGGGTGGTCCATGTTGCACAGCCCTCCTGCTCAGTGTCACGCTCTGCCCCCCAAAACCTTCTCTGTGCGTCTTTCTTTGCAGACCTGGTGCAAACTAGAACTAACTCTGGGCTGGAGTCAGAGAAGTAGGGGAGGTAACAGACCACTAACCCTACGTCTCCCAACCATGCCCGGCGCAGTGCTCTTGTTCCATCATACATGTGCGGAAGAGTGGCTTTGCGGGCTCTTCCCGATTTTCCTTTACCAGTAGTGTCTCTGTCACAGTCAGAACTTTTTTGTCTCCTACTCGAGTTTCACTACCTGGTGTAAATGCAAAGAGGATGTGCTGGGAGGGGCAAGGTCAGGGGAGGATTAGTGAGGTATTGCTACGGCTATTTCCCAGGCAGTGAGTGCAGCGTCCCTGAAAGCGTTTATGCTAATTGCGGACTTTAACTCCTGTTCTGGATTTAGGCTGGGGCTGGGCAGCTGTGGGCTCTTTTCAGTTAATGTCCTCCCCTTCTCGCCTCACCATGCTGAAGGACTAAGCTCTTCTTTGTATGAGAAATGTGAATTCCAGCCCTGGGGACAGGATCCGGTTCTGTTCCCTGTGCATTCACTGGGGTCCTGTCGTTGATCCCGGTGTTGCAAAGTCTGGATCCAGACATGTCTTCTGATTATGAGAGAGGAAGAAAATTAGTAGGATGATTATTAGGAATATTTTTTGCTGAATTTTACTGACTGAAGGTGAAGGGAGCTGATGGCTGTTCAGATGAAACACTGTTTCAATAACTAGCTTACATCTAATGAATGTGTTTGAAGTTCTTGAAAAGTAGGTAGTTTTAAAGCAGATTGATTATGGCAGGTTGATGATGGAAAGGCATCCCAAAGTGATTTCTTTTATTCTAGGACGTGACATGGCCGATGTTTGGAGTGATCTATAAAATTATTAGGGTGATCCCAACTCTATGCCCAAGTGTGTGTCAGTCTCATCACAGTATTTGACACAAGACAGTCCTACCCATAACCTCTCAAAGAGGCAGGTGATGGAGTGGGTGACATGCAGGCAAAATTTTGACATCATTCTCAAAGTAGCACTAGAGCAGTACAGAGAAGGCTGTACAGTTACCTAATGTGCTAAACTTTATGGCTTAATGAAAGAATTCCGATCCCAGGTCTGTCAGTCTGACATCCTTTGCACCATCCTCAATACTTTCTTGATATTTGGTAAGCTTGTTAGAATTATCATCTCAAATACAAGCAAAAATGTCAAGTGAAACAGGGGCAGCTTTTCAGTCCACTCCTATTCCATCTGCATGTCTGTTGCAAACTGTTGCATTTACTGTTGGTTGCAAACAACCTCTTCTGCATAAGTTGATAGAGTTTTTCAGTCACTTATTAACTGCAAGAGTGTGAAATGCCTTACCTGCACTAATCTGTGCCAACGATTGCAAGAACATTATTGACACTGAGGTAGACTGAGGGGGGCATTGACAGAGTGGTGGCAGCTTTATTACCAAAACCTTCTCTGCTGGTGTATCAGGAATAGTTTTTATTCAGCTGAGAAAGTTAGGACAGACGAACCACTCAGCTCACAAAATATGAGAGATTGTAATCTCTTCATACACACATGAAGGCACTGCAATCTGGAGACTTCATTGTAAAGACAATTCTAGAACCTGTTCTGGGCTTGGACACTGACCTTGGGCAAACCATTTCCTTTCAGTTTTCCACTTTCAGAAGTGGGGATAAGAACTATGCCTCACAGGGTCTTGTGGAAATGTCTTGTTTAGAAACAGAGGTTTATAAAGCACACTGGAATTTCCATGCAAAAAGCTCTGTGTTGTTCTAAGGTATGGTTACCATGTGGGAACACACAAAGGTGCAGAAGTTTCTGAACCTTTTGCCCTCCATTTCCAGGAGGGTTCAACTGACTGTTGTGGTGCACAGGGTCCGGCAGCCACTTCTGTGTTCTGCAGCCTTCAGGTGGACCTTATAACTAGATCCCCTGTACCTGAAACTAGCTTTACTGATCTATCCATTTTGGAGTTGGAGGGAAAACTTCATACTACTGAACTTGATAATAATTTCCATTTACTAAGAGTTTGGGGCACATGGAGCTAGCATATTAAACTGTCTCTGACTGCAGTGCCTGGCACTGGAACAGAGGCTAGCTGGTGCCAGATACTTTGGTGGACAAGATACTGACCACCTGCAAGAATGTCTGATATGGGTATGACAGTTAGTACCCGGGTTCTGATTTTTGGTTGTTGAAAAATGGAGGGGCAGGGGCATGAAACACAGCTGTGACATTGCAGATAGAGATATGCAATATGCTCTTGTCCAGAAAGCATATGCAATATGCTCTCTTATCTTGTTGCAGGTAGAGATATGCAATATGCTCTTGTCCAAAATTACTCTGACCACCTGCGAGAATGTCTGATATGGGTATGGCAGTTAGTGCCCGGGTTCTGATTTTCGGTTGTTGAAAAATGGAGGGGCAGGGGCATGAAACACAACTGTGACATTGCAGATAGAGATATGCAATATGCTGTTGTCCAGAAAGTGAGGGCTGTAATGCTGCGTCCTAAGTGTGGAGGTACATTTAAACCATCGCACATCAGGACTTGTCAGTGTACTCGTGGTTATCGGTGGCACTTTGCATGCTAAGAGTGACCATTCCAACACATTGCACAGGGAATGGGAATTTGTGATGCCACATACAAAGAGAAGAAGACAGAAAAGAAAGAAGGATGGGGAAAGAAAAAGAGAC